ATCTCATGCTTCAGGGCATGAGTTGATTACAGCAAGGGTCAGGGAGGATCCTGTCCTTCCCCTGCCGTACCCACACATCATTCCCTGTTCGGCTAAAAATAAATCAGTTGTTCGGGAGTTTTTATGCCTTGGTTGCTGCCTCAGGCAAAACACTGAACTTGATGGACTGTTCCTTTGGAAGAGATTTATGGCAACTGTCAAGTACTGCAAGCCAGGCCATGGTGTGCATGGGGGACCGTTCACTCACTTCAGGAAACACCTTAAAAACATGTACTTATCACTGGATGTAGGAGAAAGCCTGCCTGGCAGCATACATCGCATCCACCCGGTGTTATGGCATGGGCTTCCCCATTCCTGGCCTCAGACCCCAAAAACCTGATAGCTCCCTGTTTAATGTGTTATGACAGCTTACGTACTGTGTTGTGATACAGGCATGGTTTTGCTGTGAGTCAGAACTCATGGTGGGAATCCAGGGTGGTTTGGTCCCGTGCTGTGCCAGATGTGCAGGACAGTACCTCTGCTCCGTGCTCTGATGTCCGGAGTGTGAGCTGCAGCTGAGCCCCTCCATGTGGAGGGTGTCTGGGGGGCTGATGCCAGCATTGGCATTCTGTGGGCAGAGGAAAGATTTTGCTGGGTGGTGCTGGGCTGCAGCACACCTCTGCATGGTGAGGGGACCTGCCTTCAGGCTGGTTTCAGGTTCTCTCGGTACCCTTTTTGCCAGAGGAGCTGCTTATAAGGTTTGGATGGGCCTCAAATTGCTAATGCTTAGAAGACAGGGTCTTTCATTGCCTCTGTAGTTTAAGAAGTGCACTTTCTAGGGCTGCACCCACTTTTGAATGCTGAGAAGTTCAGCGACACTCGAACCCGCTGGCACAGTGTAGTGAGTGCCTGCATCACTACACCTCCTCTCCTCGGCACTGCCATGCACTTCAGCATCCCCAACGGCAGCATCAAACCTGCAGGGGAATGAATATTAGGGGTAATATTCATCAAAGGGACACAGTCCTTGCATTTATTTGCTTCTTCGCATCTTCTCTGAGCAATTGCTTGTGGCTGCTGATGTGTCTCAGCCCCTTCTGCTTTCTCCTGGTGTAGTTAATTTCCTTTTCTGTCTGGATTCATCTTATAGCAGAGCCTGTTTGGTGTGGTGCAGTGATGCTTTTTCACAAACATTTATCATACCTTGGCTGGAATACCTTTTGTAGCAGGGTTTGTTTTGATGCTGTTCTGCTTTGAGGGAAGTGCAGTGACTGCAGGCTGCAGAGGTGTGACTGTTTTCTGCATATTTAACACCTAGCAAATAAATGTTCTACACAAAAATGAATGAGAACAGCCTGTTTGTATTCTGTTTGAACAGTCCTCCTAAGATCTGAAGATAGAGGTGTGAGTTAGGCTCTGACATAGTACCCAGCATTGTCAAGCACAAATGTTATTCTGGTAAAACATTATTTCATGTTTGTGACAGACACATCAAATATCTTTTAACTATTTAACCAGTGAGGAGCCTTTTAGTGTCTCTGTTTCCACTCCTGTGTCTAAAATGGGGTTACTGGCACTGGCGTTCACAGCCAGCAGTGGTCTTCTGCAGCCCCTGCCACAATCTCTGGTGCAGCTCTAGGGTGAGCAGTGGGACACACACATATTTGGATGCTTCCACAATATTTTGGCCAAAACCAGCTTGCTTGAGCTCTGGGGTGTTGTTTCATTTCTCAAGTTGAACACTGTAATATTTCCACCCTTTTCGGGGGTGTTACCAGACTTAATGAATTAATATACTTAGAGCTTTGAGCTCTCCAGATGAAAGGCACTGCAGAAGGGCTAAGGATTATTATTTGTGGTTCTAATTTATTTTCCATCAAAGGGATGAGAGGGGTGAGAAAATGCCATTTGTTCTGGAGCTGGGAGCAGGAGTTTGAAGTCTTTTTATTCTTTCTTTTTCTTTTGCCCTCCCCTTTGTGTGTTTCTCTGGGAATTTCATGGAAGTCCCTGCGCTGTCTTTTCTTCTCTGAGCACCAGTGTGTGAAGCAGCCGGCACAGTGTTAATCACCAGGGACTTCAAGGGCTGTAGCATGTTAGGGAACTGCCTGCTCTGGTTTTCAGTAGCAACTGATTTCCGGGCATTGCAAATAACTCCTAGCTTCAGTGTGAGTTCAGCATCAAAGTAAAGAGAAGATTTCACATGGAATTCTTTCTCAAAAGCATCTGGCAACACCCTGAGCCCCATCTTCTTGGCTTTTGTGGCATTCAGTGATTTTCCTTTGTAACAGCTCATTTTTTTGTGCTTTGGGAATTCCCACCCTTGAACAGTGGCAGAGATTTTCTCCTGATAGTACTTTTTTTCATGTCAATCAGCAATAATTTCCAGGGGGATGGGAGAATGACAGCAAGGGGCTATGAGAGGCACTGGGAAACGTGCACAATCCCGGTTTCAGGGCGCAGAACTGCAGTTGACTGGTCATGGCAGGAGATCAGGATCTCCTCCAGCATTGGCATGGGGGTGTCAGCCTCAGACAGGCTGTGGGGGCCAGGTCCACACTTGTGCTCCAAGCACAGAGCTCGCCTTTCATCTCATGTGGCTCTGAGCCCGCAGGGTTCTTGGAGTGCTCTGAAACACAGTTGAGGACAGCAGGGCAGCTGGGGTACTGCGTTGCCTCGACTCATCGGTTCCTGTGTGCAACCTCAGAGTGCTCATACAGATGTTCATGCTGAAATTGTTTCCTGGGAGAGGCTCATGGTGCTAGAATGAGGTTTTGCCCCAAGTGGTGAATTGAAATTTGCCGATTTCTCATTTTTTGTGTTGTTTGTTGATTTATGAAGGCAGAGCTGTAGCAGTCCTTAACTGCCTCTGTTCTCAACTAACAAGATTAGAAGCTAAATAGAAGCAGGATAAGTGGTGGATTATGACCATTCAATAGCTCCTGCAAAAATCCTCATTATTGGATGTGTGGTTTCACTGCTTTAAAAGACTAGATGGGGATAGGCAGGCTGTTGTCGTGTATCTGTGAGCAGGAATCGGCCTGCTGTGGTTTTACTGCCGCTTTAGCACAGACTAAACCAAATACAGCTCTGCCTGTGACTTGATCTGAGCTGAGGATTGTCTCTTCAGATTGGCAGAAAGCACAAGATGACTTCTTTGTGCTTGTGGCACCAGCTGAGTTTTCATATTTCACTTTTTGAGTTTATCAATACTGATGTTCTGATGCAGAATCACTTTTTGTGCCTTTCTGCATCGGTTCAGTAGTGCCTGCGGATGCTGTAAAGCTGGAGAAGGTGCCTCTGAAATGCCAGCTCCCAACGGGAGCTACTGCAGAAAACTTGGTCTCATTTTGGGACTTTGGGATTACACTAGCAATCTGTCTTCTCTCTTCTGTAGCTTTTTGTGCTGCAGTTTGGTGCAGATATATTGGAGTTGAAGCCACTCACTGCAGGCCTGCCCGTGCTGTGCTGGGGTGGTTTTGGTTACAGCTCAGACAGTGAGAACTTCCTACTCGTTCTTTAATCTCTGTAACAGATTATTATTCTGTCATATAAATTGTCCTGTGGCAGTTTTCATGTAATAAGATGTTGCTGGCCATGGTTAGTTTGGTGCTACATACCTTGGAAGGTATTTCTCATGGCTGCTGTCTGTTTCTCCCATGGAGGTGCCTGGGCACATCTCTGCAGATCACAGTGTGTGCAGAGATACCTGAGCAGCTTCAGACCATGAGTGTACCACAGCTGTACCCGTGCTGTGCTAGGAGACAGCAAGGAGAGCACTAGGGACACACCATTATGAAACTCCTCGCAGAGGATAAAGCCATAGTTATCTAACTTTACGTCCTCTATCAGGATCTCCAGCCCTTCCTTACCTCCCAGAAATAGATGTGCTTCAGCTTTGGACTGCAGCCCTCCTGTTCCACTACACTCTCCTTACAGACCCAGAGCGTGGCTCAGGCTGATGTGTTGTGCTCCTGCTTCCAGCATCTTCTCTGTCTTGCCTTTCCCTGCAGAACAACATCTGTTGATCTCTGGATTTTGGGTGGTTCTTCAGTGTCTGTCCTTGCCCCCACTCCCAGAGCAGAGCCGGCTGGTCAGAGGGTCAGAGCACAGCCCTGTGGAGGTTTGCTGCGTATCAGGGCTCTCATCAGGGATGGAGAGGAGGGTTGCTCAGAGTTACTTTGTGCTCAGCTGTGATTAAGCGTTTGTAGCAGCAAATCCCTGTGCTGTTGCTATACTTAACATGCCAAACTCAATTATGTTGAGAAGAGAGTTTAAAAACAGGCTTTTGTCTAATATACAGTAGTTTGGCAGCAATTAGCTCTGAGTTTTATCATTTTTCCCCAAGGTGAACATGAGAATGATCAGTTATGCAGAAGAAGCTGCTCTGTTGTGAGAGAGGAAGGCAACTTCCTAGTGAGGATAAGGGTTTGCTTATACTGCAGGGCATGTTTTTCAGGGCTGCCTTGCTTGAATGTCCATCTGTGTTTGATAACTTTGGGGAAAGGTTTCTTTGTGTAAAAAGCACTTGCAGGGGAGTTCACAAGGCGAGGAGAGCACTGGAGATGGGCAGTGGCACAGGCTCTCTGGGCACTTCATTCCTGGAGGTCTCTGCAGGATACAGGGTTTGCCATTGGTGAGGCCCCTGTGGTCACACTGGCCCCGGGGCTGAGCCAGTAGCCAAGGAGAGCTGTGCTTTTGGATGATTATTTTCCTCTGTCCTGTCTAAGAAGATCCCATGTCCTTCCCAGGGGAGGGTATGAAACCCTCGTGTGTGGTGAGGGTCTAGCATGGGGTCACTGTACTGTCTGGCTGTTTGTTCTCTGGTACCTCTTCTCCTTCAGTCTTCTTTCCTTCTTGCCTTTTCATATGGTATTGCAGTACACTGTTAAATATGCCCCACTGCAACAGGTCTGGTGTTTCTCTGGGACATACAGTGCTTTGTGGGTGTTAATGTACACACGACCCTCCAGAATAAAGGTGGGCATGTTTGCGTGACCAGACCCTTCCTTGGTGTTTCTCAGTGCTGTGATCTGGGATTCCACGCCAGCCTCGCTCGGACCTTCAGGACATACCTGTCTGCAGAGTACAACCTGGAAACCTCCCGCCACGAGGGCCTGGACATCATTGAGAATGCTGTGGACAACCTGGATGCACGGAGCGACAAGCACACCATCATGGACATGTGCAACCAGGTCTTCTGCCCTCCGCTGAAGTTCGAGTTCCAGCCTCACATGGGGGATGAGGTACTGTACTCACCTGAGGGGCTGCAGATGTGCCTCACAGCCTGGCCTGGGCTGGCTTCCTCTTCTTCATAACCATCACTGTTATTTCTGACTCCTTATCCCTCTGTGTTATCTTCAGATGCTGCTATTCATGTTTCCTTTCTTAATGAGACACTTAGCTCATTAGGGCTCCTCCTTTCAATCTGCCTCTTGCTCTCTATTTCCACCAATTAGGACGCCTGTGGTTTGATTCTCAGCTGAACTGCCCAACAGATTTGTAAAGCAGAGCTTTGATTTACCTGCTGTAATTGGAAGATTTCAGAGGGCAGCTTTGAAATGCTGGGTAGAAAATGCTTTGTGGTGGCCCAGGTCCAGGGCACTGTTGATGAGAAACTGGGTGATGTAGCCTCCCTGGAGGCAGCGAGGAGCTTGTGGGTGCTGGAGGGGATCATTTAGGTGTTTAAATGTGTATGCCTGGTCAGTGCATGACCCACTGAATGCTTTCCTGTCTCAGGTGTGTCAGGTCAGTGCCCAGCAGCCTGTGCAGACTGAGTTGCTGATGCGGTACCACCAGCTGCAGTCGCGACTAGCCACCCTCAAGATAGAGAATGAAGAGGTAAGAAGTTGCTCTGGGTCCTGTGTTCGGCCTCGTAGGCAGCATTGAGCCTTTTGCCCATTATGCAGCCTGCTTCAAAACCCTGCTGTTGTCTTTTTCTGATAGGTACGAAAAACTCTGGATGCCACAATGCAGACTTTGCAGGACATGCTGACAGTGGAAGATTTTGATGTTTCAGATGCCTTCCAGCATAGTCGCTCCACTGAGTCAGTCAAATCGGCTGCATCAGAGACCTACATGAGCAAAATAAACATTGCCAAGAGGAGAGCCAACCAGCAGGAAACCGAAATGTTCTATTTTACAGTGAGTCTCATCTCATGCGATGGAGGACACAAAGCATTAATTGCTAGGGCTGAGTACAATTTAAGTGCTCATTAGTAAAGAGCAAGAACCAGTTCAGTCTCTTTAAGTATTTGTCTTCTGTCTGATTTGGGTTTGGAACGCATTTTTCAGTGGCAGGGCAGTGCATAGGGACTGACAATCTAGGGTCTGCATTGTTCTTTCTGAAGGAACAACTGGAGCAACCAGTTGTGACCGACAACATACAGATCTCAGGAGTGGCTCAGAGCAGGGCAGCAGACTCCAGCCAGCCTCACACTGCGTTACCACTCAGTGGCTGCTCCTGGAGGCCTTTACAGTTTTGAACCATCAGTCAAGCCCTTCCTTTTCTGGCTTATACAGCTAAAATTTGCCCTTGGTCCATGGGATGAACTGAAGTATTTACATCTCATGCATTGGAGGCTTTGTGGCAGGCCTGGCTTTGCAAAGTCTTGCAGCTGTGTGTGCTGGATAGAGGCAGATCTAGGGTTCTCTGTTATAGTGCTTGAAATATAAGTAATAAGCCATTAGTTCAGCAGAATTAGCCCTCATCTAAGCATGGTTAATAAGCTAAAGATAATAGCATCTTGTGATATATTACGTATGCATAAAAAAGCTTCTACTTTCTCTTAACAGTATTGTTATTATTCCAATTCAGGGGGGAAGAAAATTGCAATTTTTGTTAGAGTTGTGCTTGGGATTTTTTTTTTTAATGCTTTTTGCAAGAATATGATCTTTCCCATTCTCTTTTGCTTTCCATCTCTGTCTCCCTCACTCCTCTTATCTGTAAAATTACTTCTCTTGAGTGTTACTGGGTCTCAAACGGCCTCACAATGAGATGAGAAGTTGTGCTGCACAGTTAGTGTCTCCCAGCACGTAAAGCATCTGACCTGGGAAGGTCTCATGCAGTGGGAGTTCTCACTCTGCAGCACTTGTTTGCACAAAGGCAGCAGAGGGAAAGCCTCTTTTGATTTTCCAGGCCATTCCCAGAAGCCTGACAAAAGAAAGCTTGCTTTGAACTCTTTGGACCTCCTTGCATTCCCAGGCAGGAGGTGCAGCACCAAGGAGACCAGGCTAATAAGATCATCAGGACTGTGGCTGGAGCAGTGAGAAGTGATTAGACTGTGCTCAGCCCTGTGGCGCATCTGATGTCTGGGTTGTTAGAGCCTGTCAGCCTCGCCGAACCCCCCTCCAGCAGCCTCCTGGGCAAACGTGTACATCAATGACAGGCTATTTTTGCCAAGAGTCTTTACCCACCTTGTTTGTTTTATTTCTAATTCCAGAAATTTAAGGAGTATTTGAATGGCAGTAACCTTATCACGAAGCTCCAGGCTAAACACGACTTGCTGAAGCAGACTCTTGGAGAAGGTGAGTTGCGGGGTTAGGTCCAGGGAGGAACCTTCCCACCGCAGGAGACAGTTTTAAACCAGGTGTCATCTTTGTCTTAGCTGTATCTGTGTTTTCCTGAGTGACTGATGGCTTCTGTGGTTGGCTGCTACTAAGTTTAACTGGTGACATGCAAAAATCATTATTTCCTTGGAATATTACTCTTTTCCCACCTTTCTTTGGGGGTGCACTTACAGAGATTTGTTTGAATCTTAGTGTGTCCTAAAGTGCTGTGTTACTTCTTCAGCAGCAAAGAGATTCCCACCCACTCCAGCCCTCTGCATTTTTCCTTTCTCTCCCCCTTCTTCCCTCTTAGTGCAGCCCTTAACATGTGCATTTTCTTGTCCTTGATGCTGTGCTTCTGTGTTACAGATTTGGCAGCAGCCTTGTTGATTTAATAGGCCACTTACCCCCCCCCAGACATAGGTTTTTGACTTGCTCTAAACCAGAACTGCAAAGTCATCCTTGTTTTTAAACTATTTTTTCCATAGGAGGCTTTTACTACCCCAGATAATTTGACAGGTTTGGTTTAGAGCATGTACGCACAAACAGGCTTCATACAACAGAGGGGTAGTAACTCCTGAGGGAGGCAGGAGCAAATGGCTCCAGGTGGGTAAGCTCCTGCTGGGGTAGTGATGTGTGACCATATCCCTGGGAAAAGGTTTCAGCTCTTTCAAAGGGGTTTAAAAAATTGCATAATTTCCACTGTAAAGAAGGTAGACATGAGGTGTGTCCCGGTTCTCCAATAGGAGAGAATATATGTAAATTAAAATACACAAATGGTCTGTGATCTTGTTTTAATTATACAAAAATTGGACTCATCATTGCAAAGTAAAAAAAAGAAAAAGGAATAGATTTTTTTTTTTGGCTGTTTTTCCAAACGTGTTTTCTCTGCCAAATTTATTTAGCCTTAAAATCCATCTTCTAGTTAGATCCTGCGGTATGTTCCACTCATTGAACAGTGAGCCAAGCCACGGCACAATATATAAACACAAGGCAGGCTGCAAGGGTAGATACTAAACGCACTTGCTTTCCCCAGGAGTTTTGGAACTCCATGTAGCACCTTAGCCCCTCATCACCCTGTGGCAGCAGGTCAGTGTCAGCCCTTCTGCATCCTTCTCCAGCATGGGTCTGAGTTCAGGCTTTGACCTCAGCAAGGGGGATGCAGCACACGCTGCACAGAAATTGGACCCATCTAAACTGTTCCCTTAGAGCACAGATCTTGATGCAGAAAAGAGCTTGTTTATTGGATACAGTGCCAAGACTCCTGTGGATTGGTGCAGGAAGTGATGAATCTGTTGAAGGTCAATTTGATCACCATCCTGCTCTCTCACGCAAGAGCCATACTACTGCCATACTTAGGAAGAAGAGCACAAGATCAGGTATTTGAATTCTCTAGAGTTGTGCAAAAAGCCCCCATGGGAGATTTTCACATGAAAACTGCCTGCATTTCTCCCAGGCCATGGGATCATGTGCCGTGTAGGCGTTCAGCAAATATTTAACCCAGAAATACCAAATGCTGCGTTTCAGCATGAGCTGACTCTCATTAGGAAGAAGTCTGGATTTGCAAAATACTTGCGTGGAAGTCTTTGCTTTTTCAGTGAGGAGTTGGCTGCAAGCTTGCTTTCCGCAGGTGCCAAGGGAGAGCAGGAAGGAGGCATGTGCAGCCAAATGCTTCCTTTTATGTGTTGTATTAAAAAGAAGAATAAATCAGCTTTCCTGGCCTTGGAAGAAAGGCACAACCAGAACATGAAACTAGTTTAGTTTTTTTCAGTGGAGTGACAAATACGTTCAAAAAATGAACAGATTTTATCAGTGATGACAGCTGCCATTTATTTGAAATCCAAGCACTAAAAATACACGAAGGGAATGAGAATATTGACAGCCAGAATAGACTCTGCCTGATCGTGATTAGATGGGCTGTTATCTCACAGGAAAAGCTGGGGAACTGAATACTCTGCTGCATCCAGGTGCTATTAGTGGTCCTCCATGAGGCAGTTGGATAATCTCAGGGGCCCCCCTGGGGGCTTCAGCCCATATCAGGCTGCCCCTTTCCTGTTGGGCTTGGCCAATCCCCAGCTGGTGTAAATGAGCACTTAATGCAAGGACCTGCAGTGCATCTTGCTATTTACAAGATGGGCTTCCTATAGCAAATAAACCTTTAATATCAGTGGGATTTGAAGACATCGTCCCTCTCTTGTGGCTGAATCTTGAATTTCTAATATGTCTCTTACTTGTGGGGGCTTGTATAGCAACCAGCTCAGCATCCCCCCCAGCCTGTGGGGCCCCTAGGCATGTTCAGCTGCTTCTTGCCAGAAGCCTTTAACTCAGGGCTCACAGCACCAGGAGTGAGTGTGTGAGTGATTGTGTGAATGTGTTTTAACAGTCATTTGGTGGTGACTAATGTGGAGGCATGATGGAGACTTGTGTTTCTTACAGGTGAAAGAGCTGAATGCGGAACAACCAGGTGAGCGGTTTCTTCCACTTCATCTGCTGCTGGGAAGGGCTCGCCCTGGCAGGAAGAGGGTGGCTGTGGGAAGGGTTGTTTGCTTTGCTATTGATACAGCTCAGATTTAACGAGGTGCCCTGGGCTGACAGGCTGGAGGGCAGGCAGTCCCAGGCTCCCCACATCACTGCCTTGCTTCTCAGCTGCATCGCCTGGAGTGGATTAATTAGGGTGATGACAAACAGGCTCTTGTTTTTGCTGCACTGTAATTTCTAGCTGACTGGTTCTGAGGTGCTTAGAAGTGCCGTGTCAGCACGGTGCAGTGCCTTTGTAGCATAGCTGAGATTAGGTCGTGTTCAGATAGTGTGACACAGGGGTGTCTACCTGCTCCCTACCATCCCTGTTCATTTGAAGGACTTTGATAAGTCTCTGTAAGCATCGCCCAGCTCTGGCTTCCTTGCCTAGCAGTGCAGAGCATGCCTGTATTCAGACTTTCATCCCTCTACAGCAGGAGATAGTGCTGGGGGTGGATGTAGCAGGGAGGAGACTTTGATCTGTGTCCAGTCCATAAAGCATCTCCACAGCTTGCTATGAATTTTGTGACAATAAGACGCAGGCCAGCAAAGCCTCCAAACATCTCCCCAGAACATAAACAATCTCTGTGTTATCTTCTTACAACAACTGTTTCCATGTTTAATAAAATTTGCCATAGTAGCAAAAAAAACCCCACTGCAAGACCCAACATTCCATGTCAGAAATGCTGCAGCAGATGGCAAAGCCTGGGCTGCCTTTCCAGGCAGGAAAGAGGCTGCCTCAGCACAGGGCGGCAGGACAGCGGGATGCCTTCCGGATGGAGGGGACTGTGCTGCTGGCGCCAGGCTGAGAGTGGCGTCAGCACTGGCACCCACTGGGGCTGCAGAGCAGGGCAGGAAGGTGCTGTGAGGACAAAGAGGGGCCTTTCCAGCCTCACATAGGCCAGAGAGTGAGGGCTGCGCAGTGTATTGCTGCACTGATGTGCTCCAAGGAGCTGCCCTTGACCATGCTCCCAGGTCCCATTTGGATCAGCTCCCCTGCTACATCCGCTGCAACATTCTGATGCCCTCCGTGCCCCTGGTGTGTTTTTAAGCGCAGGGCTGGTGGGGCTGTTCACAGCCTGGGAGGTGAGCACCTTGGGGTGTGCCGGCAGGGCTCTGCGGAGCTGGTTGGGGAAAGCATAGCCAAATGGCTGGGTAAGCTCACAGGGAGAATTTGCTCTTTGTTTATCAGGAGTGGGTGCCCATGGGGTGGTGGTGTCGCAGGCCAAAGCAATCACAGGAATGAATAACAGCCTCCTACATGAGGGATGATGGCACAACTCCCTGCTGCTTCTGTTTGCTTGTGTTTCAACAGTTGCTTTTACTTCACAAAGGAAAACAAACAAGAGACAGTCTCCTTCTTGTGTGAGGCAGTGCTGTAAGTGTAGGCAGAACAACCTTCCCACCAGACAGAGCCAGAGACCAGGCTGCCCGGCCGCCTTGCACCAGGGCATCACCCAGGAGAGGAGATTACACAGCAGCAAACTGCACCGGGGCTGTAGTGTGCAGCACAGGGCTGCTCCGCTGAGGGTTGGGTGGGCATTTGAAGGGACAGCGGTCATTTTGGCTCCTCAGTTACCAGTTGGAGGAGTGGTTAGAAGCTATAGGAGCATCGAGATCACAACTGTCACCTTTGCATCGTAGCTCTGTGTAAATCGTACATTCCCATTCGACTTCGCTCTGTGAGAACTTTTGCTTCAAGGCTCCTAGCACTCATTTTGTTTGCATTTGCAGTCATCATCTCTCTTCTACAAGCATCAATATAGCCTGGGGGTAGAGGACAGATCAGAAATTGGCTAGAGATTTTATGCTGTTTTTCTCCCTTTACTAGATCTAGGCAGTTTGGTTTTAATGTCCTTCCTTCATTATCAGAAGAAGAAATAAAAATGTGAATAGCATTAATGAAAGCAGCCCTCATCAGTGTGCTAAAATGAGTTACACATTTCCATGGCCTCATTTCCAGAAGCCGTAGGTGTCTGTTACCCTTGCTGAAGTCAACAGGGTCTTCAAGGTCTGTTCTGCACTGATGAGCACTCTCAATCACTAGCTATTAGGGGTAGGGTAATGCCGTTTCCTAATGCTCACGCCTAGCTTTTCTGTTCTTACAGAGGTGCTGGTGGGTTTGCTCATCTGTGGTGACTGGGCTCACCTTTTTGTTTGGTGGCTTGAGTCTTAGGAATGCCTGCCAGAAAGATGAAAACCCATTCACATCCCTGTGAATCCCAAACAGAAGGTAGCTACAGAGAGGTGGAGATGTTCCCACTTTCCTCTTTCTGGCCATCTATTCCATTTAGGAATAAACAGGAAAACCCTAGAGTTTTCCAGGGGTAGCTGTGGTTTATTTTGGATATATCAAGGAATCAGTTGAACTCTTCAGCTGCTCTCAGTCCTTTTTCAGGCCGAGGGAGCACTGAACTGGTGGAGGTAGGAGGCAGGTGTTAAAAACGCTGCTGAGCACCAGAGCCTTCATTTTACATTTGACTTTACAATGTCATCCCTGGCACTAGCACAAGCATTGAGCAGCAGTTTTGATACTTGGCATCTCAGAGAGGGAGAATTGTAGCTGCAGATTGTGGGTACCAAAGACAGTTAGGACCAGCTGTGTTTAGCAGCTTTATTACTCTCTGGCTTGAATGAAGTAAGTTCTGCATGAAGAATGTTCCTGGCCACCCGTTGTTCATTCATGCTGTGGTTCTTGGTACTGCAGAGTTACTGCTCTGTCGCTGTCTGACTTCTGGAGACAACTGGTTTTTGCCATAGGAACTAGGACTGCAGGAAGCCTACAGCAACAGCTAGTTAGATTGCTGTATGTGGCTGCAGCTGAAGTTACAGTCTCTCTGACATGGAAATACTGGAAGATTATGGGAACGAAAAGTAGTTGGATGGGTGGTAGTTTGGCTTATTGCTGTTAAGTGCTTCTCTTACCAAGATTAACTTGACTTCATTACTTAAATAAAGGCGGTAATCTTGACCTTGACTTGAAACAGTGAACAGCTCTGATTGTGCTCCGGGATACCTACAGGTTAGCTCTGCTGCTGTTCAAACACCCACCACCTGCACCCGGGCTCAGCCTCGCCTTTGGGACCCACAGAAGTCAGGCCACTGCAGGCGGCACTGGCTCCAAAATGAGTTAGCTGAGTCAGTGCTCAGGTAGCCCTGTGTGATGTGGAGGTGTGGAGCCCAGTGCTTTTCAGGTCCCCTGGTCTCAGTGGAGCCATGTCCATGCAGGAGATGCTGGAGTGTGAGTGGCTGCAGAGTGCATGGAGCCACATGTAGAGTCCTCACAGAGGGATTTTTCTGTTTGATTTCTTATTCTCGGTCATAACCTTTGAGATCTCACCCTGTCATTGCATTTATGTTGGTGTTTTGTTGATTTATTTTGTTCCATTTTCTCCCAGGCCCCCATGTCTTCCCCCTAAGCCACAGAAAATGAGGAGACCTAGGCCTCTCTCAGTCTATAATCATAAACTCTTTAACGGCAATATGGAAACGTTCATTAAGGTACTTGCTGGCTGACAGTAAGAGTTTATGAACGCTCTGAATGTAATGGTGGCTTTCCTGTCCTAACTGCTGGCTGCTTTACTTCCTTGGTGGGGTCTCTCTGGTCTGCCCTGCACCCAGCTGATGTGGCCAGCACAAGCTTTGCCTCAGTGACAATATCTCTCCATAGCTGTCCTGTCCTCTCATTTGTTCCTCACAGGCACAGGGCAAAGGTAGCAGAGAGGACCCTTGTGGTCGTTGGCCATGCTGGCTGGCTGGCTGTGTAGCACAAGGAGCTCTTGGCTGAGTGTCCCCATTATCCAGTGCAGCTTCCACCCATCCTGGGAAGGTAGATCAGACAGCAAGGACTGCCCAGCCCAGCACCCTCAGAGGATCAACAGTGACCCCCACCTTCCCTTTTTCCATACATTTTTCATGGTCACTTCCCCCTGTAGCTGAGGAAGATGAAATGACTCATAAGATCCCAGAAAGTGCTTCCTGGTTGTAAGCCGTGAATTGAAATACTCTGCATATGGCTGGCTGTGTGGGAGGGTAGACGTGCTATCCTCATCCTTAAATAAAATACATCAGTAATGACCACCCCAGCTGGCTCATCTCGGTGCCAATGGCTCATCGATGGCTGATGCCATCTCGTACAGCTTGGTACTTACTGGGAGTCTGAAGGCCCCTTCCCACAGCCCCAAGAGGAGGGGTAGCCGGCAGTGAGGGCAGGCGAGAGCCTTGTCAGTGCAGAGCTGTTTGCTGCTCCCATGGGAGCTCTGGATGTGCCAGGAGAGGTGACACTGCAGCTTGCACTGCAACCCATTCCGGCACTCAGCCAGGGCCCCAGGCTCAGCTTCCAGTGCTGGAGCAAAGCAATTCCTAAGCGGCTGCTGAGTCGTCTCCTCCAAACCATCACTGATAACATGCAGTGTGAGGCCTTCATAAATAGGGGCCAGGGTATTTTCTTCATTTAAGCTGGGATGAACTCAGATGAACTCAATTAATATCAGTGCAGTCCCAATGGAAGGGGCCCTGCCTGTCCCAGGAAATTACCCAGAAGGAGTGATTGGAGGAGAAAAATGAAGAGATGTGGATGTGAGATTTGTCCCAAAGGACACCTCCAGCTATCTAGCTGCTAATCCTCCAAAATCCAGCACTTTGCTATTGCTTTGCTGCTGAAAAGATATCCAAAGGAGGCAATGCCGTTCCAGTTGCTTACAGCATTTAAATCCTGTGCTGAAGAAAGCTTTAGTGAAAAAGGACTGCACCATAGGAAGCAGTCATGACAAACAGTTGGATTAGGTAAACTAATGAGCATTGTATGTCTCAGATTTATTCTCTTAGGCTCTTTTACTGCACCCATAAGCCTAAGGGCAGTGTTTATAAACAGTGCACAGTTACAAGTAATATACAGACCCAACTGACAAATCCAGTAATCCCTTTAATACTTGTAATTATTCCTTCCTTAAACTGATTTTTAAGTCCAGCCTGTCCTGGGCTGTGGAGGAGGAATTATCTGCAGTGGAAATTCATCTGAGCAGACGGGTGTCCTGTGCCAGCAGAGACTCCTCAGGGACAGTGCTGTGCTGCTGGGGTTGTTCTTGAGTCTGGGGGGACCCATGGGGTACAGGGTCCCCCCACACCAGGGCAGCTTTCCCAGAGCTTTCCCTGCAGCCCAGGCAGGAGCTGGCAGCATCCCTAGGCTCTGGAAGTGCTGCAGGGTCATGGAGGGAATAAATCCAAGAGGCTTTTCCTGCAGGTCGCTGAGGCTCGGGTGCAGTGTGCCAAATGGGGTTTGGGAGGGAGGGTGGACAGCCTGAAGGCTTGGGCTGGACCTTGCTAAGCTGTCATTGCATTTGAGCGTTCATGGCCTCCGAAAGAGATGCTTACCTCTAACTGAACTTATCCTTGCTTAATCTTTTCTTTTTCTCCCGCTCTGCTGCTATTTTGTGTTCTCAGAGGAAGGAGGAATGCGCGAACAAGAAATCAGGTATTTACTGGAGGCCCGTCTACGAGACGGAGTAAATTAACCAGAGAGATGCAACTGTACTCTACTGGAAAAAACAACCAAACGAAGCCCCAGAGGAAAATAAATGTGAACTTAGGCAGTCAGGCACGGCTCACATTTCTCCTTGAGCTCCTTCCACAAGGGGCCTCGAGAGAAGCAGCTTTGAAACAAAAGCCAAAACTCATAACGGGATCAGATACCAGAAGTTCATTTCATACCCTGTGGTGTTCTGGTGTTTGGGTTTCTTTAGTATCTGCTGACAATGGCTTTTTAAGTGGAAATACTGTTGTAAGTTCTGTTATTGGAAGCCTATAGTATAGCACAAGTTTTATTTCAGCTCAGCATTACACCTTTGAAATGGAGTAGCTGTGATCCTGTTGCATCGGTTCCCCATCTCAACCAGATAGCGAGCAGCAGCCTTTCACACACTTTGATGAAAGCTTTCTTTTGTGCACAGACGACTGCACATAGTATACTCAGCACTTTTTGATGGCTTGATGTGTGTAACGCCTCCTTTTCTTACCTGTCCTCTTACTAAACTCCATGGCACTGATTTTCACATCTCTGGTTTTGTGATATTTAATGCATTTCCAGTGCTTTGTTATCAATAAACCAGTAACTTTTAACTTTTTCCTTTCCTCTCATGAAGGATTCAGGACAGGCTATTCCACTTGTAGTAGAAAGCTGCATTCGTTACATCAATTTGTACGGTAAGTTGATCCAGTAATTCCAACAAGCTTTCTGCAAAGAAAATTAAGTACTTGTAGTTGGCAGTGAAATACACTAGAGAGGCCTGCAGCCCTTGATACATGGGCTCATGTAATAATTACAGTGCATTGCCCATCAGGTAGCATTGATGGCTGGCAAATATTTAGGTGGTGTTAGTGCTTACTCAGGTTAAATGATGCGCTCCCCAGGCCAATGGGAGCCCTTTCAACACTTTGTTCTGGGGGGCTTTGATTGGAGAATACAAGCAGAAATTAATTTTAACAGGCTGTCCCCTTCTTACTCTGAGCCTTTTGGGTGCATGGGCTCCTAGTTTCTGCTGTTCTTTACTAGAAAGTGCCACGTAACAGTAACAGAAATCTATTCTGAAATGTTGTTCTTTTCCAGGTCTTCAGCAGCAGGGCATTTTCAGAGTCCCTGGCTCCCAGGTGGAAGTCAACGACATCAAGAATTCATTTGAGAGAGGTGTGTTGCCAGGGTGTGCAGCTACAGCTGGGATGCTCTGCTGGAGCAGAGGTGGTTGTTGGGAGTTTCAGTGTGCACTGGGTGCATTAGATATTGTGTAAAACCTGTGCTGAGGGCCTTTCTGCCACGAGACACAAGGAGCTTTTATCCCCTTCTAGGTATCTCAGTATTGTATCTCCAGCAATAGTGAAAAAT